ATTTTATTTGCTTGGTCTGAGTGGACTTGTATAGGCAGTGACAAATATGATTTTGATTTTCATTTTATCAGAAGGAGTTTTGCATAAATTTCAGATCGCAACAAATGCATTTCCGTTTATTTGTTTTTTCATTCTAACTTGACACTGAACTTAACTTGCGGAGGCACCACCAGTAGCCGAGGGATTAAACAAAGCTGCTGAATAATGGTAGTTCGTTCTGGGTTCGAAGACAAGTGAAGAGTTTGGCTGTGTGGTTCACCCCATCTGTAACCAGACTATGAGGCAGTTTCCATTAAAAAATCCACCATGAAGGCAAGGCATTGTACCCTTTAGGTAAATAGCCATTTTGTGCTTTGTTATATTCGAGTAATCTAAATATGCCGAAAATTTGAGTAGCCTATTTATAATAAATTATACTCATTTAATGAGAAATTTAAAGTGCTTAATAAGCACTACCTGCTCATGATGTCTCTTTTTGAAAGTAGGTAGGTATATTTATGAGCAATATTGCAAAAAGCAAAGTAAAAAAGTTTAATTGAAAATATCAAATATATGCTATTCATTCAATCGCTGAAAAAAAGAGAAGCCTTACTGTTTACATTGGAAATGCTATGTTAATGTTTCCTAATAAACAATTTTTGGATTAAAAAGTAAATTTAGTTTATCAGATGCAAAATACAAGTTGTATTCGACTCCATCAAATGAGCTGCTGTACCGTCTGGGAGACTTTCAGCTCTTACAGTTCATTTAGAGGGAAATTTTATTGAAAAATTTTCTTTGAGAACAAAATTTTGATACAGTATATGATACAGATGTTACAGAGGATATTTTATGGAGTTACAGAGAATTTTCAATGAAGTACCAAATTTTATTACCGGATGTAAGATAAATGCTACAGAAACGTTACAGAAATATTAAAAAGAATTTGTCTATGAGTACAAAATTTTGTCACAGTACATAACACAAATGTTACAGAAAATATTAGGAATCAAAGTTATAAAAATTACAAATGAAAGTTATAAAATGAGAAATTATAGAATGTAATGTTTTACAGAGAGTATAATATAATTGTTTTGGAATGTTACAGAAATGCAGAGATAAATCTTAATATATAAATATAACTGGTTGGGCAAGTTAAATATAAGATTTGGTGCTTAACAAATATTAAATTCTGTCCGCGACTCTCGACATGTTTTCCTTGAGTACTGCAGACCTTGACGCTTTTTTGATGTGCCAGGCAGGATACAAAGGTAAAAGGTTGGACACTTTGCGGGAAAGAATTTATTCTAAGCCTGTTAATGATACTGAGAATAATATTTAATAATTTTACTATGAGAAGACTGTTCACATCCATTCATTCATCTTTATAAATCAAGATAAACAATTCCTCGCACAACTACATTGACTGTTGTATTCTAGATATAGTATTTCAATATCTGATAAAACTTTTTGAAATCAAATCGATTATGCATTATGAACAATTTCGAGGATTCACTACTCTGAATTAAATAACTATTACTATTTTTTAAATAATTTTTAATTATTTATATACTTCTTTTGGTTTATATTATTATTCTTATTTAACTGTATTTCATGCTCTTCTCATTTTTAATGTTATAAAGGAAATTTTGGAAAACCTCTTGGAAAGAAGCACAATCAAACTGTTCACCTGAATGTCTAGCTATCCAATGACTACAGAAGGGGCTGGACAAGTTAACGATGGTCAAGTCCTTATTTAATGAACTGCATAGCAAAACAATACAGAAGGTTTATTTAAAGCTTTGCTGTTGACAAACCAACTATTATAACAAACAAAAGAGCTGCTGTCGGCAGTGAGTTGCTTAAATAAAATAATCCAGTCACTCAATGAGTTCATATGCATCATTATTTAAGTGCGTTTTTGTCTCTGAAACAGTGTTAAAATAACAAGATAGTATTGTTTATTGTAGTTTTTTAAGCCTATATAGTTAAATTTCAATTACTAAACTTAATTTCATTCTAAAAAGAAAGGTGAAAATTCCTCGTGTTCTCAAAGTTAAGAAACATATAGTACAAGGAAACCAAGTATAAGTGCATTGGTAATTTTATTTAAAAGTAAAATATAATTTATTCTTTAAGCCAACACCTTATGGCAAACTCTCATGTTAAATGGTAAACACATAATTGCTAAAGGCCATTATTAACAATCAAGATCCTTAACAGATATCAAGTGCCCAAGATGAACTGAACTCAGAGCAAATGAAGTCTGCTATGTCCGGTTACATTTATCTTGGACCACCTCATATTATGAGAGGAGGAGAATACTTTTACCAAAATATAATCAAAAAACTTATTATTAAACTACTTTCTTAGATAACCTGATATTTAAACTTTTGTCATCAACAATGCTTTTGCATTTAGAAAGTAGGAGGAACAAAACAGGGTCGATCTTAAAAACTTCACCTTAAATGTTGCAAGAATTTAAAGAGCAGGTTAAAACAACATCAGAATTCTGATCCTCAGGGAAGCTAAAGTGCTTGTATTCACCACTGTTTTTTGAAAACTGAAGAATATTTTTACATGCTTTAAGCAAAACAAACTTAGAACCTAGTTAAATGCTTTATTTCATTGTTGAAATTATGTTAATGATTATTCATTGCATCTGCACAATTTCTGTTTATTAAAATCACCATTATATATTCTATGCTTTACTGCAGAACAACTTTTTTTTTATTTACCTATTCTATGCAGTTATTCTTTAGCTTATGTTGTAATTTTTTAGCTATTTCCTTGCTTTTATTTAATGCATTGCTTTTAATAAGATTTTTTTACTTTTTCTCATTATTTATATACTGCTTTTATTATGTTTTAAATGTTTTTGCTTCTCTTTTGTCCTAATATCTTAGAAAGGGAATTCATTATGCTGAGTGGTAGGCTTGGTAAAGATTATATTGTAGAAAACGGTGTTGGTGCGAAACAGAATGGCGTGGAAAATGGTATAAGTGCTAAACAGAATGATGTAAAGAAGGGTATATAGTGTTATTTAACTTGCTGCATGGCCTTTTCTTCTGGATATTATTTTTTCTCTAGCATGTTTCTTATCTGCATGAGGGAATACTTAATTGCATGTTTAAGTATGATAAATATTAATTGCATGTTAGTATGGAAAGATTCCTTAAAGATTGTATAGTACCTTTTATATTATATATGCTTAATGTAACAAACAAAGCGTTATGTTATGATTTTCTGAAAAATTTGAAGTAAGCCATAGGAATTATTATAGAAAATGTAAACAATTCTATCAAAATTTAAGATATGAAGGTTTTTTTGTAAATTATAAAATATTTATTAATAGAAAAAATCATGCAAATATAATATTTTAAAATTATAGTATGTTCTTTTATTAAGCATTTTTTAAACTTATAAATTATAATCTGCTTGAATAATAGAAATGCACTAAACAGTTGCAGTTAAATTTCAAAAATATGACATTGCATAACAATATGTATAGTGATTTTATTTATTTGATATTTTGTAGTGTCTGATGATAACGTAAGTGAATGTGACGCATATGTTGTTTCTTCTGAATCTTGTGCATTTCCTTCTGTTGCTGGAAGACTGATTCGTGAAGTGGAACCCGGCGAAATTGTCGAGATTACCAAAAATGGAATAAGGTCCATATGCATAATGCCTCGACCTGATGATTGTGCCCCTGCCTTTTGTATATTTGAGTATGTTTACTTTGCTAGGCCTGACAGTATGTTGGAAGGTAAAAAAATACAAAGCATACTATTTAAGAAAATGCAATTTATTTCTTATTACAGTTACCAGTTCAACAAGATAAAATCTCTGAAAACAGGTACCAGGATCATAAAACTGATAAACACAGTCATTGCTTAAATATGCTTATTTTGTTATTAATGAATATATGTCCGTGAATGTTCTTAAAATAACGGAGTTTTCAAAATTTTATTTATTTAAATTTGTACCTAATTACATACTTGTTTACATTTATGTATGTAATAGAATATATCTCAGTATAAATCACTTTTCAGAATTGGAAATTTTTAAAGGTCTGCATTTCTGTCTAACCACTAACTGTTGAATCAGGCTTAATATGTCTGACTAGTGCAGTAAAAATTTGAAATATTTCAAGAGAATTTGTATTCGATGAAGATGTCCATCATACAGTCTTTTTTGCAGTTGCAACCAACCATAAAAGTAATAGTTGTCTGAAATTTATTGTATTCTAGTTCTAACAATCACTGGCTCTTTATTATATTGCTGATCCTTCAGCATTTGAGCTGATGCAAAGACAATAAAATTTAACCAAAATGCTGTATTATAGTAGTTTTTTTTTAATTGCAGTTTTTGAAAAATGACACGTAACCTTCATGGTTTTAGAATTCAGCCACCAATGTGCCAATTCTAAGATAATGAGCTGTGTACTAACAATTCATTACTTTTTAAAAGAATTTGCCAGTTTTTTTAACTGACGGGGCTTTATGTTTCTATAGATTTAAGACGTTCAGAGCCAAAGTTCCTTCTGAGTGTGCTTTTGTGGAAGGAAATATGATTGAATTATCTTGTGATAGTGCACTGAAGACAAAATTTGGCAGTATGGAGTAAAATTTGATGGATATTAGTAAAAGAGGAATATCCATTGATAAGCAAATCTTAATTCCATCCTCAAAATAGCATTTTTTTTTTTTTTTTTTTTTTTTTTTTTTTTTTTTTTTTTTTTGTTTTGTGTGTGTGTGTGTGTGAAGTAGGATGTGTAGTAGTTGCTGTAATGAAAGCAGATGTCATTGAAAAAAAGTCATGATGGAACTAGAAGTGGTTATGTCCAGTTTAAATCCAAAATTTCAGCAAATGTACAGTTAGAAAGTCCTTCTAATTATGATTTATTTCTTTCGATGATATGAAAATTCAAAATATTAAATTGTTCCTATTGATCTAAATAGACCCCAAACTCTGGCCTATGATCATAAGCCTATAGTTTTGTTACGAAATGTACAGGCGCGGTGAGATAGCTTCCTCGCAAACCAGTTTTAGGGTTGCCATAAAATGGCAAGGGAAGGCAGTGTTGCCACATTTGGCGATATGCCATGGACAGATGGAGAAACTTCTGGAACAAATTTTAGGTTTAGCCGAAGTCCGAACACAAACCGAAAGCCTATAAACCTGCGGTCCGAAGTCAGTCGTAGTATGAGAGGTGTGTTCTCTGCAAGCTGAAGTCAGTGATTGAGCGAGTGCCCGAAGTCTAGCGCGAGAGTCGGATTGAGCGAGGCCTCGAAAGCTAGCGAGGAGTTGGGTCGAGTGCATCAAGGGTCTTTAGTGTATGCGAATAGTGCATCATGAGTTTGTCTAGACGTGCTGAGTCGAGATCTATACTCTTGGTATCGTCGAGAAAATTGCGTGGAGAGTCGAGAGCACGCAGAGTTGGGAGCTGTATCGGGTGCTTGCAGTGAAGGCTTGTCCACGTTATGCCGACAGTGTGAGGCTGTGTCGCTGAAGTGTCGGGTTTAAAGTTCGACGCCTAAAAGTGATTGACGCTATCTGATTAATATTGTAATAAAGGTGTTTCGATACTTCATCAAGTGTGTATTATTAATCCAATTCAAACTGTAGAATGTGAAGGAAGAAAATAATGTAACAACTGGTGTCAGAAAAGAAAAATGCAACAGTTTTATTTCATACTTCTTGTACAGTACTGAATGCCGTATATAACGTGATTAACTGAAAATTTGCATCAATTTTTGTAAAGAACATGCAGTTTTTATGTATTTTTGTGTTAAGTACATTATTATAGATATAAAATTCATGAAAATACAATTTTTTAAATATTTGCATAGTTTTGGGTAGCCCTGTATGTTATGTATTAAAATATAAATTGGTATTTATTTTTATGTTGGCAACTCGAATTTCTTTAGGACAAATGGTGTACACAGCTCGTATGGAATGTGGTAGACAACTAGCAAGGCAAGCTCCTGTGGATGCGGATGTAGTTGCTGCTGTTCCTGAATCAGCAATACCAGCTGCTCTTGGATTTGCTGAAGAAGTAAGTTGAAGATTTGATATGGTCTAGATCTCTGTAAGGGAATTTTATAATGAATTACTGAAAGTTCTAACTTAAAATCTCCCCTTCTCTATTATAACTTCAAAATAAATGTAGTTCTAATAATAATTGTCAGAAAATCTATTGCCACTGTATTTCTGTTATCTGCAATGATTGTGAAAATAGAAGTTTTCTATCCTTTTATTCCTATAATCTATACAAATATTGCAGAATAAAAATCTAATATTTATATCATATTTTGACATGACTGTTTATTGTTTTTTTGTTTATAAAGATCAACAAAATTCTGAATTTAGATTTGTAAATATGTTCTAGATGATATTCACAAGAACTTTTAAATCAGTATGTCATCAGCTTTAAATACTGAAATCAGAAATTTTCTCTTCACATAACTGTTCCCTTTCTACAGCAATAATACTGAATTCATGCAAACATAAGTTTCAAAAATATCAGTTGCTAAGTATTTTATGGTTAACTATGCTTTCTTTCAATACCGAAAGCAGTCCTGTTGGGGAGGAAGCTGATAAAATTATATACTACTAAAGTGAAACAAATTGTGAATGTACTACTATTGAATTTCCCTGGTACAAATTAAAATTTATCATTTGAGTTAAACAAATTACTGGAGTATTGACCCTTTTTACTTCCTTGTACGAAGTAAAAAGTGTCAATACTCCAGTAATTTCCTTGTACGAAGTAAAAAAGGAAGTATTGTAATCGCGAAAAGTTTAGGCAGCATATTTCAATGAAAATATCCATTTTGAACGTTATTGAATGCAATTTAACAATGTTTTTGCGTGACATCTATACATAAGGACAGAATAAAATAAATCAAAAAAAAAAAAAAAAAATTATAAAACTGCTTTAAAATGAATTCTGAAGAGAATTTTTCGTGGTGTCTGTACGTGCGTAAGTATGTATCTTGCATAATTCAAAAACGAGCAGCTTCAGAACATTGAAATTTTGTATATAGGACTGCTATAACATGCAGATGTGAACATAATATTTTGGTTTCAATCGGCCGCACCAAAAGCATATAAATATATTTATACTATACATATCCACTTTGTTACCCGCTCAGTGATCTCAGTTCTTACTCTTATATGTTTGTAAATTGAATTTTGCTTATGAATGATTGAAATTATGTGTTCTTAATCTTCTGGTTAAGGTTTTTATGCCTTTAGGAAATCTGCAAGCAATATTTGTAGAATTATCAACAATTTAAAAGCTGTTTAAGTGCGGTTAAGCCTAATTTTAAAATAACATGGCGGAAATGTTTGTTTACATTTGAAACAGTAGAATACAGTACAAAGTCCATAATCCGGCCGTCCGTTATCTGGAATGATCTATAATCCGGACCTCAAAGCCACAAACTTACACATGCGTGTAATGGGTTTATGCATGCGCATTTGATACGCACGTCCGCTACGCTGTTCAAAAGCAGTAAAGGTTAACATGCGTGCTCCGATATGAAGAAAAGACAGAGGGATTGAAACGAAAAAATTTCATGATAAGAGTCGGTTTCTCGACACAGCAATTACAGTATTGAATAGGGAACTTGTAACTGAACAAGAAATTATGTCTGTTATAGAATTAAAAAGAAAGTTATTAGCACAAAAACTTACATTGAAAGAAATGTTTTAAAAAGTAAACAAATAATATTGAGTTTTTTTTTGTAAATTTGATACCCTTTAGATCATCATTGTTCTTTATTTCATAAAATTACGGTTTCACTTTTTTAATTGTATAATTTCTGCATGCATCTTACCAGATTTAAATTGATGATCTTATAATCCGGAAAAAAAATGAATCGCGAATGTGAAGTCCCGACAAGTTGCTTACGGACCTTTCTGTAGAGATTTGTTGACAGTCTAGAGAGACTAAGCTTCACAACAACAAAGAAATACCTTCATTTATTATTGTGAATTAAATCATCTTAATCCTTCTGGAATTTTTCAAGGAAATAAGTGTTTTAAGATTTACTTCGTAATTTTAAATAGATTATTTTGAGTTTTTATGTATTTGCCTTGTAGTTGATGTGAGAACTGAATTAATTGAATGACAAATGCTGAATCGTCTGTAAAAAAACTGTTTCTTGCTGTTTTGTTTGCTTAATTTCTTTCATACATCCTTCTGGATTTATTATAGTATTTGAATAGAACATGTGGCAACGATTAGATAATTATTCAAATGATATAAATTTTGTGCATTCTGAGTTATAATGTGAACGAAATATAATGCTGTTAATGAACCTAGCACCAGAGTGTCACTATGGTAAGCAAATTTAGTGAATTTTAAAGAGTGTATTTATTCTGTTGTGGTTTATGCGCTATTGACGAAGTAGATTTAATTCAATCCATTAAGTTTAAATGAAATGCAAGAAAAAGTGTGTATAATTTGATATTCCGTACAAGGAAGTCTGAAGTGGTGTACATTTTTTTTTTTTATAAAATCTCAAGAAATTTGATTCAGACATCACTTTTTTTATATCTAAAATTTACAAGTTAAAAAAATAAGTAAAAAAAAGTTTTTTGTATTTTAAAGAACTGCTAAAAATTTGCTTTTATAATGAAGTATATACAGTTATGGGGATTTTGATCATTAATTTTTATCTGTTTGTTAAAATAGTGCTTTTAAAATTTTAAACAAATATGCATCATTTTTTAATCAAATAATTGCTCTTCAGGTTTGATTTACTTATTTTCTAACACCACACATAACAACCCACCTGACAATCACTACAGATGCTCTGTATGGGACTGAGAGAAAATTATAAATGCGGTAAAAATTCAACTGATTTTACAGAATGTCTTGATTTATTTTTCAGTCTAAAATAAAGTACACAGAAGTTCTATGCAAAAACAGGTATGTTGGAAGAACATTCATTCAACCTAGCACCAGGCTTCGACAGCTAGCAGTTCTGAAGAAATTTGGACCTTTAAGCTCAAATTTCAAAGGAAAGAGAATGGTTCTGATTGATGATTCGATTGTACGTGGAACTACTTCGGGAGCAATTACAAGACTTCTGAGAGAAGCAGGAGCATGTGAGGTAAGATTATTTTTATAAACAATTAGCTGTATTACCTGACTCACTAGTATCTACTACTACTGGTATCACTAGCAAAGTAAAATGGCAAAAACATAATTAAAACGTGTGTAATTAAAAAAAAAGAAAGAAATTGTGATTATCATTCGTTAATTACTTGATTCTTTAAATCTTATTATTATTTCTGACTTTTGTTCCCAAATTTCCTTTCTTACAGTTGTTAAATTGCAGAATAAATAAAGAGGGTATATTTTATATTCTTGCTTAAATGGCGTCAATATTTAAAAATTATTTCTCCTGCTCATGTTTCATGTTAGCCTTACGTTGCTTCAAAAGAAGAAAAAATGTGTAGCATATGTTTTCATTCATAAAAACTTCTGGAAAATTTCTGGTAGCACTGGATTTTCCATTCTCATTTACTCATAGATTTCATTTATGCCTTTTTCCTAAGGACTATTAATATTCTATTCAGCACTATGGATGATATGGTAAAAGCATTTTATGGTATAGTATAGTATAATTTCCTTTTATACAATGTCCTGAATTGAAAATTAGATCCAGAAATTTCTTTTGCTTTTGCAAGCATAAATGAGACTTAAAAAAATGGATATCAAGTTTTTACAGGTCTATTCATTATGAATCTACAATAATTTCTGAATGTAGCATCTTTGCTTGCACTATGCTATATTGCTAAAGCTATGTTTAGAGGATATATATATCTAAACTGATCAGAGAAAATATTAATGTAGTGATAAAAGCTATGATAACCCAATGTAAACAAATATTTATTATTCATCTTTGATATTTCTCTCCGTCTCTATATATGGATGTTCTGAATTGGGTAAACACACACACATATGAAGTAACTTACAAACTGAATTATAAGTATGTATTATGTTTATGTATATATTTGTTTTGAAAAAAAAAATTCCCCATTAAAATTCATTTTTCTTTCTATTAGGTGCACCTTCGCATTGCATCACCACCCCTCCATCACCCATGTTACATGGGAATTAACATTCCAACAAGAGAAGAACTTATTGCCAATAAATGCAATGCTGAGGAATTAGCAAAACAGATAGGTGTTGACAGTTTAGAATACTTAACTGTGGACAATTTAGTTAATGCTGTGCGAAAAAATGCCACAACAAATGGGAAACCTGTCGGTCACTGTACAGCATGCTTGACTGGGAAGTACCCAGTTGAATTAGAATGGTAGACTTAAGGGGAAAAAAGGGTAATATTCCTAAATGTATATAATGTAACTATTTTTACAACATGTAACAGATAATGAACAAATATATGGAAAATTTCTGCTTAAAAAGTAATTTTAATTTTGAAGATAAAAAATATCGTTTGCATAAAATATTGTTTCTTTTTTTTCAGTATACAAAAATTGAAATTCTGGATTTGTTTGATCCAAGATATCTTGAAAGCAAAAGCAAAGACTATTCAGTTTTAGAACTTTATTTCGTTTAATTTATAAATAAGAATTGTAAAAAGTAGATTATTAATAATTTACAGTAAAAGAAAATTTTCAGTAATGTAAAATATTTTTTAAATCTGTCTAACATGTTTTATATTTACATGTTGTATATATTTAATATAAATTTTTTAATAATGTCAGAGTCCTTATTTTTGCAAATTTTTGATTAAAAACTCATAAAATGAAAGTCTTTATTCATCTATTAATGTTTAGGTTATTTTTATAATGTCATGTATTCATTACTTATGTACATTATTGTAAACCATAATTAAAAATGATTGAGCTATATCTCTATAATCCTGCATAAATATGCCATATTTTAATCAAGACTTATTTTTTGTATGATAAAATTCTTGAAAATAAAATTTTATACAAACATGCAAACTATTAGAATTCATTAATATAATTTTTCATGTCTCAGTTTTGCAGATTTGAAAGAGATTTTGCAGATGTAAAGAGGAAAAAGGATAACAGTTCAAAACATTTCATATGTAGATATAATTTCATTGATGTAATTTTAGTAAAATGACTTTCAAATTTCGTTATAGGATTAAAAGTTTTTCAATGTCATCTATGTGTTTTGGGCATTCAGCAGTTAAATTTTCAAAACCGTCCTCAGTAATAAGAATATCATCTTCAATTCGTATGCAGAGACCTCTGTATTTTTCCGGTACTTTAATGTTATTTGGTGAAACATACACGCCTATTCAATAAAAAGAAAAAAGCATTAATAAAGAAATAAAATGGAATAATAATTATTTTCCATTTTAGAAAATATTATGACATTGTATAATACATATATGGTATGATACATTCTTATACATATTTTCAAAAAATATACAAATGAATTTACATATTTCATATATTTTCTATTTGTCAGTTGTATATAACAGTTGATTTGCTTTGAGATATAAATCCTCTTACTGCATTTTTATATATTCATTATAACATGTGATTTATTACACCAGAAGCAATGTTTCATGCTATACAGAATAAATTGAGTGAAATGTTTTTTCAGAATAAATATTAAATTTCCTTTTCTCCAATTACAATTAATATGCATTTAAATTTTGTACTGAATTCATTTGCTTTGTCATATTTGTGCAAGGCTTGTTCAGAAAAGTTTCCATGCAAAATGTCTTGTACATTAGAAATTAAATAAAAAAATAATATTTTAATCTGCTGAGCTCATATTTTAATCTCAGACTGAATCTGTAGTATTGTTTTGTATAAATTACAAATCAGTAATGTAAAACCCACATGTGATACATTTGCACACACACACACACACACAAAAAAAAAAAAAAAAAAAAAAGAGTTGAGTATTTTGTTATGAATTTGCTAAAATTTTTAAAAAATAATTATTCAAAAGGTAAAATTCCTAATCAATGGAACCATTCCAGTGTTATGTTAATAGCTTAGATAACTTCAATTGGATCTGTCCACAATTGGTAGTATCAATACTATTTTCAGATTGTAATTGTGGAAAGTGATGATCAGGGACACATTTTAATTTCATTAATATATCATTTTCATCTTTAGAAGACATTTAAGTTTTTCAACTTAAAAGTGATCTTCAGTCAATTTTTAAATGGTATCGGAATTTTACAGTGTCCAATTACAGTTGCATGCTCATCTAAGCTGAGAATCTTTTCATCAAATAAGGTAACTGCATTATTGATTATGGTTAAAAAATACTGAATTCGGACATAATTTTCTAGTGAAGTTGATCAGTAGGTTTGATCACTAAAGTTCTTTTTGATCCAAGTTCAGTTATGCAGCAGTTTACAAGTAATTTAAATATTTGAATTCTGTGTCACAGTTAGACCTCAAATAAATTTTAATAGGCCTTTAATGTGAATTTGTGATATTAAAGACTCTGAAATATTTTTTTTTCACTATATTTAGTTCACTTAGTAAGTCATTTCAGATGATACAAAATTTAATTACAAGAGACTGATGTTAGATTTTGCCTTCTTGTTATTGATATGTTCATGATTTTGTTTTAGAAGAAAAAACTGTGCTTGCTATCTTAACTGATTTTGCACTTTGAAATGGACAACTACACCTTATTTCAGACAGTGGTTTTAGAACAAGGTGTTTTATACACTGTTTCATCATATCTCAGAATATTAAAGAATTTGAAAAAGACCATATAAATTCTATAAAGGTCCAGAAACGAAACTGCAATCACAGATGATTTGGAGAAATGTCAGCTTCCAGAGAACATATACTGTGTTTTGAAATTCTTTTGCAGAATACATGCTCGCACATGTTTAATACATGCTCGCACATGTTTATGCATCAGTTTCATATTAGTCTCATTATCATAATCTTATTTGAAATAAAATCTTAAATCTTATCTCTCCATTTTTAAGATATATCAATTCGACAGCCTTTGCAACTGTTGGTCATAGACAAACACTTTGGATTAGAAAAATGTTTTAATGGATGCAAAGATTCATGTTTTCATATTTTTAAATTCTTAAAAATGAATTTTGTATGAAATAAATTCTATTTTTTTTACATATTTCTTGTCTCTATACTCATTTAGAAAAATTCTGTACTTATTGCCAAAAAAAAAAAAAAAAAAGTTTATTCGTATAAAGTAAAAAATAACTAAGGTATTTAATTTCAAATTTAGATTTACTTAGTGAACCAACCCCTCAATCATTATTCAAAGTTGATTCCCCCCCTTAAATGCCATTCGGTGATTATTCTTTAGTGATTTATTAATGTCTTTATTAATAACTTTGTTACATTTGGTATGCCAAAAGAATTTTCACACAGTTTATGAGTTTTCAAAGTTTAAACATACATTATTAATATTAATATTCTTATGAAATTTTATTATTTTAGAATTAATCTGGCAATTGTAATAAATTAATTAAAGTACAAATGTTTTTCCTTTTTAATTATGGCAAATAATATTACGAGCTGACTAGGTGCCAATACTGAAACTTGTTACTGTTTTCTAGAAGGCAAATTCTATTAAGATTCTATAAATAAGATTTCAGTTCAAAAAACAAAATTTTTGATCAATATCTTTCACAATAATCTGCACAGAATTGCTCATTACACAATCTTATTAGAAACCTTTTACTAAACGACACATTACTTTTAGTTATGCACAAACTTGTTGCTCCTCAGTTTATGTATGACCCCTGAATACGATTACCAATTTCAGTATCAAATGTCTCAGTCAGTTTTTGTCATGAGAGTCAAAACATTTCATGCTTTATTTTTTATAGCAAATACTAAATTTTTCTAAATATAAGAATGTGTAAAAGGTTAAAATTCACAATTTTTACAAAATTGATTTCTTTAAAAATGTCAAAACATCAATCTTAGCACCATTTAAAACATTTTCATGACTGAAAATATGTCTTCAATTAACAGTTGAGAAAATCCTTTTCCTGGCATTTTTTATTCTTTGAAAACAAATAGCTCTTGAAGATTTAAGTGCTTTTTGTCTTTATTTATATCACTATATCTTAATATATAATTGCACTTGAGGGTTTATATTTACAGTCAAATTAATAAAGTTGTGAAATTATCTTACTTCACCAATAAATTCCTTTCTCACTTTTTGCAACCAAGCTGAAATCACTTCAATTTTTTGAGGTATAAACAGAAAAATGATGCTGCTTTCTTTCAAAGATCCAAATATTGCTCAAAACTGGGCCACATTTTAAAAGGTTTTCTATCATATTCAAGAAATTAATGTTTTGTGATTTATAACACAAAGTTTTGCTGCTTTCCCTGAAAAATCACGTTGTTTTGATAAATATAAAATTGCAGCTACTACTAATTTTTAAACATTGTTTTATTTCTAAGTATTCATCTGCGATCTTAGTAGGTTGTATTTTCAAATTTTAGAGTCTTTTTAAAGTTATATTCATTTGAACTTGTAGTTGACATTCTGATGTTTCATGATTTTGCATCATAAAAGTTATAGGTGTCCAGATGCTATGCCCATTTTAAACACAAATAATCCCTGAAGAGAATAACTTGCATAACGTAAAATTGCATCTGTATGGAAGAGAAACATGCCAGTCTAAAAGTGAGCAAGAAAATAATCTTAGATTGTTATAGATTTAAAACAAAACTCATTTTCAACAGCAATTAACATAATTTCCATCTCTGTCATGAAAAAAAAAAAAAAAAAAAAAAATTTGTTCCCAATTTCTATTTAAAATGTATATCATACAACTGAAGATGTATCCTCTAATTTTGAACCTTTGAGTAAGATAATCGCTTATGTTTTTCATACTCCCTGTGTGTTTATTTTCTTGGACAGCATTTTTCAGAAAACTTTTATGATTTTATAGTTTACATTTTTGTAACTATTTTCTATTTCTGTGATATCAGTTTGCATAGTAGTTATTATAGATTTTCCTATTATGACAGCATAGTACATCTAAAATCACTTATGTTAATATTTTTGTCTTGTTTGCTAAACAAAAATTATTTTCATTTTATTGTCAGGAAATTGCAGTTCTTCAGACAGCTTGTTGATTGCTTGCCCTTATTCAAATAGGAACCAATTAGGTCATAATCTGGATCACTGATAATAAATTGCATATTGTCATTTGTTTCTTTTATTTTCAAACAGTTGTAATTTGAATTCCTTTTCTTCAGTTAACTTATCCTTATCAGTCTTCTGTCTTTTACTCAAACCAGAGTTTGTCCCTTTGACAATCAGGGTTAATATTGAAAGTTTCATTGATTTCATCAATTTCTGTTTTATTTTCAGGAATTCCATGAAAATGGAGAATACTGTAGAGGTCTATAGTAGGTTGAATGAAAATAGAATTGATGATAGTTTGATAAAATTTATTTTATTAAAAGGAACACTTCACAATTTAAATTTCTACAAAAATACTTGCACAGCTCTTCACAATAAATATCACAGAGTACAATCAGTAATTACACTTCAAACTACTAAAGAATGTTTAAACCCATTGCAATGCAAAGTTTATCCAAACAGCAAAGTTCTTACGGATGTTTCAATACTTTGAATTCAGCTTTGAAATAGCAACTACTACTGAGAAACTAATGCTCTCCTTGGTCTTGTATAGTTTTCTACCAGCCGCTGAGAGATTTCTAGTATCTTCTACTTCTCGAAATTACTGGAAGGCATATGAGAGCCAGATACCATTATAGTTACATAAGAGTATCAATTACAATACCCAATACAATTATAAAGAGACTCTGCCAAATGGTCGCTAAGTATGGGTGATATCTAGCCAATTCAGCGAGATAGTCATTTACTCAATGTTAGACTTTCCCCTGTATTTTTACTTTTTCGGCAAAGTTTCATTTCTTTAGATTTTCATAAGAAAAATACTACCATATATATAATTTCACTAAAATTATTTATAAATCTAAAAAATTTAACTTGCTGATTTTTTTTTTTTTTTTTTTTTTGGGAGGGAAGGCAGTTCTGGAGGACCTTAAAAGGATATCTGATAATGTTCAGAATACATCTCTTAAATAAACAAAGAAATTGACTAAGTAACTAAAAGTAACATAATATTATCTGAATTTGTCAAATTGCCAAGGCTTGTGATGGCACAGTAATTAACATACATAATGTATATTATCTGACTTTGTCAAATTGCCAAGGATATAAAATCTGAGGTTCTAATTGTGGCATATGTAACTTTTTTCAACCTTTACTGCTTTTATTTTCCACAGAACTTTATAAAGTTTTTTAGATGAAATAAAGTGAATTAATTTTCCCTTTTTTCCAGTACTGCAATAGGTATTTTTAAAATTTAGTCAAAATTTATATCAAAACATAATTCATGATACTTTTCTTTCATTGCCTGAGTTTAGAAATTACCTCACTAAGAGATGCCATCAAGATTTTTTTGATAAATCCAAAGATCAGGGTTTTTTTTTTTGGAGCAAATCTTAATACAGCTGTAATTCACATAAGGATTAATCATTCTCAGCAGTGGTTCTTAACCTTTTTTGTTGAAATTTCCCCTTATGCCAGTGTTGCCAGAAAATGTTCAACTAAAGTAGCAAAAGAAGTGTAAAAAAGTTGCAAAAAATCGAAAATGACGTCAGAGATATGCGATTTTTGTGACGTCGCAGTTGTGCAAGCTCACATGACCTCTGACGTCATCACAAATTTACCGTCTATTGGTTCTGTAAGTTACAGACTGTATTCGATTGTTAGTCTTTTTAATTTATCTTAGCTTTAACGGAAATTGAATATAAATAATTTATCTTTAATTTATCTTAGCTTCAACGGAAATATAAAAATATATTGCTCATTTTCAATTGTTTAAATATCCATTTCATTTTAAATTCTCATTTAATTTAGGTTTCTATGTTTAAATTAATTTCCAGATATCCATTCTTAAGAGATTCCTCACATTTAGACTGAGAGATTTTTTGCTAATTTTTTTGAGTTTTAATTCATTGTCTTTTTTTTGTTTAATTGCATATCTTTTAATTAATGCTTTTCAGTGATTTTTCTGTGCGGTGGATCTGTTTCAGATTTTGATTATAAGAAAACCTTGTTCTTTCACTGTTAAATTTATTTCCGTAGCTATTTAGAAAAATTGCTTTGTCATTTCCATTTCTTAATTCTTAGCAATATTATAATCAGAAATGTGAGTTTCATATCTTTCTCTGTTTGGGTACCCAATGTATGGTGTGCAAGCTGCAAGTTCTTTGGTTCTATTCATTATCACCATAGAACGGGGGGGGGAGGCTGACTTAAAAAAAAATCTCACAAGGGCGGGTGCTGAGATGTCCCGAAGCATTTTTTCTTTCTTTCCACTTTTTTCATTTCCCTTTCTTGTTATACCGTCTTCAGGTTGTGTAGCCTTGTAAAAGAAAGCCCACTTGTAAATCAGATTACCAGATGCTAATTTGTATTTAAGCCAAAGTAAACTTTTTTTTTTAATATAAATTATTTCTAATTGATACATTATTTTAACACAAAAGCATTTTACAATACATTAAAAAAAATCTTTTAAGTCGCAAAAGTAATATAAGAAAATGATGGATGCTTTCTTGAAAAAGGTAAATGTTTTATAACAATATTTCTTTCCTTTTAAATTTTATTGATTGGTGGCCATCGCATGGAAATCTCAGTGCGTCACTATTTTGAAAATGGCCGTTGCCTTTCGCACATTAGCTTGGTGGAAAATTATTAGCAAACAAGTTTGCAAACACTCTCCAAAGAGACTAACAAGCTTACAGTGGGGAAGGGAGGGTACGAATTATCGGAGCGTACTGAATTTTCTATATTATTCATGTAGTACTTTCCAAATAATATGTAAAACTTACAATGTTTTATTTCAGTATACCATAAATAAATCTACTGTTATGAATTTTGTACATTGATAGGTGATTTTAATGAATTTATATGTGAAATTGTTGTATTTTTCTGCATAATGTAACAAGAAAAGTTTGAGAGAAATGATGCTCTGCCAGAAAAATAATAAAAGGCAAATATATTTAACATTGAGTACATGGCTATCTTGCTAAATTGGAAAGATATCATTAAGCTGGCAATTGTTTTGGTGACCAATCACTAAAGTCGCCAAACTCCATTTCACGACGTTTTGGTCCAATCTTCATATAATTGTCATGGGTATCATAACTGAATAACTGTAACTGATCCTGTATGCAACTAAGCGTATCCAGATCTCGTATGTATTTGAGTAATTTTGAAAAGTACTAAAAATTTAAATCAGGGAAAAATTATATAAGAATGAAGAGAGTATAAGTTTCTCAGTTGTTGGTTCAGACAGACTTCGGAGTATTAAAGATATCAGTGACAGCTTCACCTTTTAGAAGATGCACTTTGCATTCTGTTGTGTTTAGTGTTGCTAGTAGTTTGAAATGTAACTACTAATTCTGCTTTGTGATACTGTGAAGAGCTGTACGAGTATTTTTGTGGACTGTTCCAGAACTGTAAAATGTTTCTTTATATCTTTTTTTTTTTTTTTCCCAGCTTTTTTTAGCCACTTTATTTAGATTAGCAAATTTTCATCACCATATGTTTTTCTTTGCGAGACTGAAAAAAAAATATGAAGTTAAAAAAATTTAATTTATATGATGTATGAAAGACCACTGATGAATCCAGTTTGCTGATTGTGTGAATTATCACCAATAAAGACATGTAAAGGCATTTTTGATCCCAGTGAATGTTGATGACACTCGAATTCTTGTTTCATCTCATCTTCCTAACAGCTCCTTAAAGCTTTTGGTATGTCTGAAATATACTGCTTGCTGGTCACAATACAGTCATATTCCAAAAATTCAAAGACAACGATCCCATGGCATCTCAAAAACCATGCAGTTTCTTTGGATAAAATAAATTTTATCAAACCATCATGTGCATTCAATCTATTACAAACTTGTACACATGCAATACTACACATAAATTTAAGGTTTATTATATGGTTTAAAATTAAGGGTTATTATATTTATTTGTTATCCAAACCATGCAAGCCTGTTTTGATTGCTAGCTCATAAACATGTGAAGCCTTGCAAAAGAGGAGTGATGCCTCATCTTGGACTGATTCTTAATTTCTGGATTATAAAGTTATGCACATATTTTGTCCTCTGTCATGGCTGTATAATTTTTAAAAGTTTTCTAACATAGATTAGAGCAAATGATTACCCATTTCTTCTTTATATTAGTTTTCAACCAACTTTAGAAAAATATCACTATGCACACTCACTTTATTATGAATCTTCCACAGGACTGGCACCAGATTGCAGAATTTAAGGGTTACGAAACTTTTAGAATATCCTATCACTTTTGAAATCTGAAGATATTCTAATCAGATATAAATAATTCAACTTAAATTTTGTTCAGCAGACTTACTGAAGGAGAAGGTATGGAACTGAACCATCTTTCTTTTTGGCCAGGCTTGTAGAAAAATTTGAAGGTTTAAAAATAATATACATATCAATGTAACTATATAATTTTAGATTATTTATTGCTTAAGCATTTTTTAAACAGAATTCATGTGTTTAACTACAGATCACTTGTCCTTTAAATGAAAAAAATTTAACTACATATTATTCATATTTACAAATATGATTATTTAACCTCTGAGTGGCAAGACCATCTTTATCTAGTCACGAGATTGTTTGTCATTTGACATATATTAAGACTATAATCTAAAATATATTGCTTTCTTTACCAATGTAAATGTCTTCTTGATGAAAAAAGTTTATTAAAAGAGACTAAAATAAGTAAGTATAAAAATTTAGCAAATAGAAGCTGTTTAGAAGCAGGTCTTCATGAGTAAATCCAAAAAGCCATGTCACTAAGAGGGTTTAATACGAGCTGTTATGAAATGCTAAATGACATAATTAAATTTAATAAAAAGACGAATGAAAACTTACCAGGTTCAATGGTGACTACCATTCCAGGCAAAAGTTTAATTCCACGGGAAATTAGATTTGTATCATGAACATCCATCCCTAAGTAGTGGCTAACATGGTGTGGGCAGAACTCGTATGCTGCCTGTAATAAATAAACACCTAATAAGAAAGCAGGAATATTGCTATATTCCAACAAATAGAATTTTTCTTGTTAAAATTTAAATGATTAAATACTCACTGGTAGAATATATATATATATGTTTTGGGGAAAAAACATGCATTGTTAAATACTATAATATCATTGAAACACTTTCAAGAAAGAATGATTTGCTTTTGAACAGACTTTAGTATTGACAAGCTATTAATGTATATTTACACAACTTTCATATCGTATGTTGCAGTGCATTAGTGTCAATATTTTATATCTTTTCTAATTTTGATTACAGATGCCCCCCCAAACTAATTTTTCACAACTTCTATATGAGTATCATCGCCACTACCATACATCCACAAAGGCTCATTCTTTTAGATTACAAAATTTTATTTTATTCTCACATATGATTTTATTTGTTATCTTTTCTTATATCTCATATGTATTATCTTATTTCTATAACTTGCACTCTGTCTTAGTGTCTATCTGTAATTAAGCACACAAAATTAGATATTTTAAAAGTTTTTGGGATTACAGTTGAAAGAAGTTTTATAATTTTTTATTTTTATAATATGCTAGAATGAAAAAAACTAGTAGATTTAACTTAGAGTTTAAGATAAGTCTAACACATACTTCTTGTGTCACAGGTTTCTTGACTTTTGATTTCATGCTTTTTTATTTATAGCCTGATGGCTTTTTCATATAACTGTTTCAAAGCTATGACATTATTTATAGCACAATTTTAAAAAGATCACAAAAACCACAGATTTGCATTAGTAATAAGAATAGCGCTTTATTTCTAAAATTAAAAATGCCAGAGTGTTATGAAAGGATGTCAGAAAAGGAAATCACAAATCTAAAAATAATAATTAGTATTTAAATAAAATGTACAAATATAAATAAAAAATAATAGGTTAAATTAATGGCAAATAACTAAATAGTACATTAAATACTAGAATTCGTTTGGAGCTTTGCCTAGAATTAAATTTCATTGAAATATCAAGAAATGGAGACCAGGAATTGGGCTCCATTTGAATTTAAGCCTAGATGGTGAAAACATTTATTATAAGCATGTTTAACAATGAGTGAAGTCTTTTTAGAGCCATATAAATTTTAAAAATAAGCTTACATACTAAAAAAAATATTGGAATTGAAACAAGAGAGAGATGTGAATGTCTGGCAGTACAGAGAATACCCTACAATACTGTCTATTAGTATTAATGTCACAACTGTTTATTTTAAAAATATGCATAAAGACTCCTTCCCCTCCAATTTTATCAAAAAAGAAAAAAAATATGACAAGCAGTTTAAGTGATATAAAATTTTGTGAGCAGTGTGATTGTTACATTATGAAATACTCTTAGCTCATGTAAATATTTTGAATTTTTCTAAATTTTTTAATATGCTTGAATCTTATTTACTAATTGTACTGAATCAAAACTGAAATGAGGAAATTATGCAGTATCAGTCATTTCTGAGGTGAAGAATTAAAAGACAATAAATTTAAAGTGTAAATGAACAGATGTACTATTATTGCAATCATATGTATTAAATACTAGCTAAATGAATTAAATACTTGCAGTTCTTCCATTTCCGAGAGAAGGAAATAATGGCAGCATACAGAATAAAAAGTGTAAAATAATAAGTGTACTAATAGCACTTTAAAAATACACTTTATAACACTTTAAAAGTAATACTAGTACTAAATTATAGTTATAAAGTAATTAATAGTACTTTATAACACTTTAAAAATACATAATAGTTATTGTTTTTATTTTTATAGCATTTGCTTAGAATAAATAAACAAAGTATCAAAGTAATGTTAAAATCTCTGCACAAAATCGATTGGATTATGGTAAACCATACTAGAGCTATGTATTTAAAGGGAGAAATCCCTAAAGTTCTGAGAAATCAGTCATATTCATGTTACACATGGAGGAAAATCACAGAAACATCTTTGCATCTAGTCCATTTGCTGAGACTTTGAACCTGAGTCGAACTATCAGTGTTCAAGAATCCGATACTGGTTCTTGAAATGAGAATGAAGTATTTCACATTTCGCAGTAATATACTTATTATATGGTTGAATTCCATTCAGAGAAGTACAGTTTGCAGTATTACTGTGATTCACTGAAACTAACATTAATGAATTGCACCATTCAGCAAAAAAGAGCACATCAATATATTTATATTGTAAACCCTTACCAAATGTGGAGGATATATGATTAACACATTGCACACATGGCAAAATTGTGTTTCACAAATTTAACTCTACGGAAAAAAATGGGTCAGGTATAGCTCAGATTAAGAAAGTGTATAATTTACACAAATCTAACTATTATTGCAATTAAAAGAGAAAAATGAAACAAATATTAATTGAAATGCTATCTGTTACTGCTTAATAAGTAACTGCATGATAAATAGCTGATAATTTTTGCTTGGACAATGTCTGACACAACTCATTAAATTTTTCATGGTAAGGAGTGCAAAATGTTTCTAGTATATACCTCTTAAAAAGCATCCTCTTCTTTTTTCATTTGGGTCAAACTCCACAACAAAATCATTCCTGTGAATTTTTTAACATTTGTTTAACTTTTTGTCCACTAAAGGATCTTTATTTTCTTTACTATTGTTGCTTTCACTGCCTGTTAATGTTATAAGATCATCCAATTTTTCATCTCATAATGAATTCTTTGATTTTTCCTCCCTCCCTCTCTGAAAGTCCTTTACTGCCAATTGCTTTTGCAGATTGTATGATTTCGTTGGCTTCATTTTCAGTTGATGGATTCCTTTAAAATTGCTGGCAACTTCTGCCCAGAGCTAATGGCAGAAAGCATTCATTGTTGATGAAATTCACTTGTTCCCATATGAATTCAAATGTTCTATGCAGTGTCTTATGTCGAATTGTTTCCCAAAACCATTAGTGAGTCATGCTTTCCTTCATCTTGTTTATTTGCAAAGATGTAAAAGGATAATACGCTTGATTTTTTTGACTGCTTGATCCGTTGGTTGGGTTAAGAAAGTGGTGTTCAGTGGAAGGAATAAAAACCTGTACATTTGGATACAATGTTAGAAAAGCTTCAGCACTGTGTCTTGGTATTAAGCATTAAGAGAACTTTAAAGCTCTTTTGCTAAGCAATGTTTGACTTCTTTAATCGTCTGAGTGAAGGGGTTTTTGGATCCAAAATGAAGACCTATATTTAAAAAGCCTTTATAAGCTAAATTTGTATATTTACTTATTTTAGTCACAATTTTCATAAACTTATATTTATTAAAATGACATTTATATTATAAAAGAAAGTACGAAAGCAAAATATCTTAAATTATAAGCTAATATATATATATATATATACCAAGTGACAAAAAGTCTCATAACTGGCTTTGCCTAGTCATGGTGCTCAGAGGGTTAATGAATAACCTTTCAAACCAGTCGTTGAAGAGGACTATTGCAATGCGTCTAGTGTTTTGAGTGTACTGTGTATAACTGAAATTCTTGTGTTGAACAAATTAAATGGAGATAATAAAGATAATGTTACTGCACAAAATCTTGTTCTTCAAGTCTGCATTCAAAAACTGAAAATGGCCACATATATAAAATTGCCACGATTTTTTTTTTATTTTTTTTATTGATAAATTGTTTTCATGCATGAAGAAGTTCAGTCCTGAATTCAAGGAAGAAATTAAAAAAAAGTATGCATGTAAATAAGATTTTTTTTTTTCATATCGCATGCTAAGAAAGTTGTATAGGAAGTACTGTAAAGCTGAGTAAATAGTGACTGTATTTTGCTTTCAAAAGCCCAGACAGGATAAGTGTAACTGATGATAGAATACAATGGCCTTATAGATGAGTAAATCATTAACTATCAAAAGAACATTGTTTTGGGAAATTAAGAGGTAAGTAGGGTCTTAAATGGTTAAAACTTGTTTACTATTGGTGTAAAGCATTAGATTACTGGATTAGGGCAAAGCACGCAAGGGAAGTGATACTTTTGTCAGAATCTTTTAGCTTGTATTTATATTAAACATGGAAAAAAATCACAAAAACATATGCAGCAACCCCTTTCATTGGGATAAAACCTGGATCAAATAGTATTTTATTATTTGCACAACACCGAAATGAATTAGCCAGGCAATGCACAACATCACCAAGATGCACAATCCAGAATGACATGAAGATATTTCTATGGCAATCCAGGAATACATGGAACTCAGTTACACAGTTTTTTCCTTTTACATATAAAGTACAGCCATTTAGTGCGGTCAAAAATTTCGTTCTTTCTTCTTTTGATATCAAAGCTGCTATTAGTCTCAAAACTCACATTTTTGTCCATATCACTTTTTTTTCCAAATCGTGTTTCAAATTGTTGCCACCAAATGTTATCATGATTTATTATTACAAAAATATACTAATGAAAAATATACATGCATGTATGTTCCTCGCATTGCAGAAAAACAATAGCCCCTAGAGCCACAATTTTAATACGCATAGTCCTTCACCTGACATAGGCACCTCAAAGACTGAATTTTGAATTTGTTTTTTGATTTATTCATACTAGCCACTATGTGGCCAGCCTTTGTTTGGCTTTTAAATGTACAAGAAAAATGCCTAAAGAGAACACCAAATATTATTAAATTTAAAAACTGCTCAAAACAACTTTACAAAAAAAAAAAAAAAAAAAAGAAAGAAGAAGAAGAAAGAAAAGAAAAAACACAAATTTCAATAAAAATGTATTATATAAAAAAAAATTACATTGGAAGAAGCAATATTCCTTAATACAAATATTAATTATCCTAATAAATAAATTAACCAACTTCTCCTTGCAAAATCTTAAGAATGGTACTGTAAAGGAAGTCTGTGTTTTTGTTCACTAATAAATCGGTTATTACTATAGCTATCGTCACCAAACTTTTTACAGTACTAGGAAAAGATCAGCATCCACTTAAACAAGAAATCAGAGATATTAATTAAAAACTCTTAAAACGCCAGTTTTTCCGAGTGGCAACAGTGCTGATATCAGCAACAATGGCTGCGCACCACTGTTGCTTATATAATGAGAGAGAGTTATGGATTTGATGCCATTTCATCAAAAAACATAAAATAAAAGAAATCTCATTAGAATTTTTATCTTTCAATATTAAGCTACAAATTTGGTTATTTGAAAGCAAATGTTGCCACTGCTCAACAGAATACTTATTCTTGCCATTCACCAGCAGGTTCCCATTCAGTAAAGCATAAGATATGTAACTTTCAAATTTAATTTTTCTGTTACTAAGCAGCAAATCAAGTAACTGAAAAGTAATAAATACAATTCTTAAAAATACTTTTCTACTTTTTAAACTGATTGATTTAAATTAAAAAAATTATTTAAATCGTGAGATGTCTAATTAGAAATATTAAATATTTTTATGAAATGACACTAGCTGAACTCGGTAAAATCATTATACACTTTTCCTCTTTTATGATAACGCTTTTAGGTGACTAGCAGATCGAGCAGCTAGTTTTCAAAGAAACAATATGGCAAATATAAAAAAATATATAGCAACCCCTAACACTCTATAAAAATTCTAAAGATGTACTATTTTTAAATATTTTCTCATTTTGTTCTTGAATTTTATGTGGCATACTTGCAAAGAAAGGAATCCTTTCTTTCCTTAATTATTATTATTATCATCATCATTATTTGATATTTTCATTTTTTAACAGGTAGTCTTGAAAAACTGACAGCAGTAGTCTTATTCTGCAATGCATAAGATCTTTTTGTCTGGTTTGAAGTCTCAGTTAATAGTGTATTCTTCACTTGAATTTATTTAATGCATGCAAATGAAGTAGTTTTTGCTATTATATTATGATATTTAACCATATGAATTAAAGATAAATTTGGAAGTATAATAAAGTACATAATCAGTTGTGCATAAGAAGAAATCAAATAATTAGTTCAGAACTTACAAGCCAAATGGCACAGCTGCTAAGATTAAATAGATACCCTTATAACAAACAGAACACATACAGATTTATGATGTGCATGGAACAAATTACATATTTCTATATTTTTTAGCTCAAAGACAAAAATTTCAAAAGTAGAACAAGAATTAATTAACATTATTTATGTTTTAATACATACTTAGAGGACAGATGGAGAAAATAATTGAACTGATAAGATATAAAACAATAAATAAAAGCTGATTAAAATTTACCTGAGCAACTTCTTCTCTCGAAGCAGTTGTTGGTATAAGTCCTAAATCCTGAAAGCCCTTTCCCAAGTTTTCACACATAACTTTGAATAAATGATCAAGAGATAGTTTCTTCTCACATAATTTAATTAATTCTTCTTGTACTGATAGAACAACTTCATAAAGTTCTTTTTGTGGTTCTGAAAACTTTCCATTTACTGGCCATGTTCGTGCCATATCACTACTATAACCATGACATTCACAGCCTGTATTTAAGAGGGGAGATAAAAAAACATTATAGGCATTCTGTATCTTAAAACTTTAATATATGTTTTACTTACTATCTGTTAACAAAAAGTTTTAATATTTGAAAAGCAGTAACTCGACTAAAAAAATATTATCAGTGTAATTTTTTTTACTGTATTATATTTTGCTTGACTCTTTTTTTAAATCACATTAAATTAAAATAATAATGGATACTTACATGTTATCACAACCACCTTAGTAGAAGTTGTCAAATTTTCAAAATGAGCCTAACTCTGGCAACCATGCACATAACCATTATTTAAACAACTGTGCTCATAGTGATTCTAGAGTCAAGCAATGTTGCCATTTCCACATGCATTCTTTTTGTTGTATTCCAAGTTCCAACAGTTTTACAAACAAACTATAATATTTTTTGCCTTCAACTCAATTTTAAAATATGTGCTTGTGGAATTTGTCAGCAGTGGCAACAAACTGCAATAAAATTTTCTGCAAAAATACAGAATTTTGATGCGAAATCTCTAAAAGGTATTGTGAGATGCATTTGGTACATAGCCAATGTTACTGAGTCTCTACAATTCTCTGATGTTTTTTAAGCTAAAACAGTTCACAGGGGGGGGGAAGAGATCATTGGGTACTTGGGAATAGCACAAAAAATGTCAGAAGATTTAGAGACAAAAGTTTTTATTTTTTCTAATGTATCACCAAATTTAATAATTCAAATTTATGTTTTGTATTGTTAAAGTATGTTAACTTTTCATATGTTGATAAAGTTTGCCAACTTGGTAAACACTGACAGTCTGGAAATCTTTTTTAAAGAAAAAATGTTGCAAAAATTACCAACTTGTACCTGATATCAAACCTTTACCTTGTCATCTGTAAAAAATTCTGAAACTGCAGCAAAGTTGCATTAATATGTAAGTACCTAATAATATTCACTACATTAGTATCTTTTCATATTATTATGTTTGAATGAATTAGATTATTAAATCACAATATGGACAAATGAAGAGATGACAAGATCCACTATGATCCTATGTGCTGCATTAATTACTCAGTAAAGAAATTTTTTCTAATGTACAGAAGAGCAAAGCAAAAATTTTTTTAAAAGCAAATTATTATACTTTTTTAATGCTACCTTTTTTTAAAACAGGATAACAAATAGTCATGATTTTATTTGTATTATTCTTTATTATTTTGCTGCAGAGGCTTCAAATTATGTCATGATTAATATTATACCCCAACCATTTAAAACTGCTACCCAATTCAGGAAGTATACAACAAACCTGAATTTTACATAAGAGGTAAAACATCCTGGAATATGCAAATGATTAGCATTTTAATTCTTGAGTGAGTGAGAAGCAAGAGTATTGATACCTTAAGGCAGAAAAAAAGACAGATTAAAATGATAATTTTTTATTTGCAACTTGTGTTCCCTCAATACTTCTTACGTTGGAGGTTAAGTTATGCCTTGTTTAAAAAAAACGAGCTTGTCCTATTATGTCTCAGGATTTGATCACAGGACAGCCATAGCCTACTATTCTGCTACACCACTGCTGCTTCCCACTAATCAAGATCCAGCGATTATTAAGTGAAATTTATAATCAATAGATGAGAGAGGGTCACACATGCAGGGTTTTATTTAAGGTGCTAGAAAAAGCAAGAAATATTTCTAGTTAATGCCAGCAAGGATGGAAATAGCTGCAATGGATTGTCAACAAGGAGACCATTGCTTCACTTTCTACTGATACTACAGCACACAAAACAGTGCTTACAAGCATGTATTCAGTGACAGACTGGAGATGACATCATATTTCTCTGATGAATACTACTTTTGCAGCATCATAATGGCTGTATCTGTGTAGGCCCCATACAAATGATTAGTGGAAACCTGCATTTTTTATTATCATTCAGCTCAAAACCTGGATTTCTGGTATGAGATGGCATTCAGTACACATCTTGCTCACTTATAAGCTGAATATCTAGTACTTTAAACTGGATGGCCACTGTTATATTATTGAGGTTTTAAAGCTTGTAGCTATACCATATCTTTGGGATGTATTTAATTTTTCATAAAATATCACACTATTGACCATCAATTCTTAGTACAAAGATACTTGACTCTTGCCTTGGTTGGCCTATGCCCTAAATCTCAAACCAACTCAAAATATTTGGTCAATAGTTGAAGACAGATTGACATAAAAACATTTTTCATCCAGGTATAGATACAAGTGGGATGGGACATTTCACCACTGGTTGTACAGATGTAGCACCACTAATGGTCATTAAGCTCCATCCTAATTTTTGTGAAAAACACCCTGAGGAATGAACTGAGGGTCTCCCACTTCTCTTATCCTACCACTTAAGCACTACTCTTAACCTACTACTACTAAAGAGGACTTTTGGCTCATTGTGTATTTGAATGCTCCCATATCACAAAGATAATATATACTTACAAACATCCATGGCTTTTTGGAGTTTCAAATCAAAGGCCAACAATATGGCAGCCAGGACCACTAGTTACTATACTGATCACAGTGGCACATTCTCTAACCAGTATGATAGATACAGTTTGATGCAGAAGTAAAGCTTTATGGATTGCAATATCCATAACAGCCATCAAAAATCTGTTTTATACCATGCCCAGTTTAACAGTAATGAAAGTTGGATGCTCAGGGTTTTGATTTCTGCATGTTCAGCACTTCAAAATTATCTGAAATATTAATCATTTCATTCTTTATAATGTATATATAAAATAAATATTACTGCAGTAACTACATTCCTTTAAGCTGCAGCAATTTTAATTGCCATGTGTATTTAAAATGACAAAAATCAACCTTTAATTCATAAAAACTATTTTTGTGAAATGTTTCTCCCTAAGTATAAATTTTTATCCTAATATGAATACATTACATAATCTTTTAGTGAGTATTCGCTAAGACTTTTTTAAGACTGATTTCATGATCAATCAGTGCATAGGAAAATATAAAATGATAATTAATGGATAGCTCTAACTCAAAGCATGCTATAATCAACTGATCAATCGTGATTGACAGATTGGTCAGCCTATCTTTTCAGTACTGAAGCATGCTAAAAGCTCACTTTTCAGTTTTTTTTCACAATATTATTTAGTACAAACTCTATTAATCTGCTTCATTTTTATAAAGCAGAAAACTGCCTTACAGATATTTTGAAGCTAAAAAACAATACAAATATCACAAAATTCATATTAAATTTCAACTGAAGGAAAGGTACTCTATTCAGAATTTATTTTTTGTATTAAAGAAGACTGCAATAACCAACCTCAGGTTCCTACATAAAACCTAATATCTTCAAGAGAAATTAGTTATTCACAAAAGAACATTTTTTCTCACTATAACTATTTGAATTAACTTAAAAAGGGACTTCAATGTAAAATAAAACTATATTGAAAGAAAAGAGCATTTCAAACTTTCTAACCAAGATAAAAAGTTTAAGGCTATAGAAGCCTTTATTATTATTCACTTAGAGAACAAATAAATAAATAAAAATAATTGGGTCTACTCTTATATATGCCCTAATTTCACCATATGTGCTCTGTGCTGGTTTTTGGTGCGATTGCATGTTGTATGGCAACCCTGTTGATGTTGAAAAATCTTTTCCTGGAGTGGTTGGTTTGGGTCGTGCGTGTTTTGAAATGGCCTATGTTGCAATGATAGACGTGATGGGAAGATTTCAGTCCCGCATTTTAGATTGTGTGGAAAGTAAATTTAGTATTAAAAGGTACAATGTTGGAGTTGTTAACTAGTCTTTTGTTCACGGGTGTGTTTATAAGGGTTGAAGTGTATTCTGGGAATTTCTGTGTGACTTTTAAAACAGAGTACGAAATATGGAACTGCTATGAGAACTCGGACAAAGAAGGGCATTTCTGAGAGTTGTGTGGATTTGCAGTCAAATGGTTCAGCGGAGTTTAAGATTTGGATTGTGGTTTTGGTGTCGCAAAGTTTGGAGGAAGTTTTTATCGTTACTTTCGAAATTTTGAATCTCAGAAGGACATGTGATATAGCAAAATCGTGGCACTTTTGTTAAGAGGCGTTATGTGACTGGCGAAATTTTATTCAGGAATATATTATGGTAAGTGCATTTTATTTTACTGTTTTTATTCTGATGAATGTTATGTTTGCTTTTTTACCATGAATTTTTTTTTAATTGTTTGTAATTTAGTTTATTTGTTTGATTTGTGCACAATGCCTAGATTGTGCAATTTGTAGATTTTTTTAAAGTTTAAACAAGATGCTGTGTACATGATATTCTTTGAAATTTATTGTTATGTTAATTTATTAAAACGAGGTATGCGTAGTTCATAGATTTGTTCGTTGCCTAGATTGTGCAATTCATAGATTTTTTTGAAGTTAAAATATACTGCTGTGTACATGGATTCTTGTCAAATATTTTTGGTTAGAAACTTTATGTTTTTGCTATCTAAATTTTTTGTTTTTGTTTCGGATTTTTAGCTTAAATTGTGCGTTGTGCGAAAACAACGTTTTTGGAGACATTTTAGGCTTAAAGTTTGAAATGTAGACAAAAAATTTAGATAATAATATGGCAGCGTGGAGTTTCTTGCCAAAAATGTTTGGCGAGAAATTTGGCGACGCGAGGATGCATATAAGACTAGTTCCAAATATTTTTTTTAAAAATGTTTTAACATTGAACTAAAAAATATGAAAGTCAACAGTTCTTTAAATTATCACCACTATTAAGATTTTAAAATTTGAATGATTGCCCACAGTTTAAGTCAAGGGGTTCCCAACCCTATGCCCACCGATCATTTAATGTGTGCTCACTGCTGCAAATGATTAGCATTAATAAAAATGTTTCAGTTTTCAATAAAATTCTATATGAAAGTTTTCTCATTTTTCATGAAATAGAAATTATGTCCAACATAGATAACAGTACAAAGCAAAATGTGACTAATCTTTTTTTTTTTTTTTTTTTATTTTTTTTTAAGTGTATGTTTTATTAACTCTATCTTACTATAAATTCACCTTGAAAAAGTAAATGCTGCCCACTGTCCAAGAGATATTTTAGAATTTACTCTTACTACAAAAATGTGTGGCACTCCTGATTTCAGTTATATGAATAATGGCCTGAAATTAAAGTTCAATTAATGGGATGGCTAATAGTTATTTTTGGTATGTCGGTTTTAATTGCTACTCATCAATATACCCATAAAAGTCCAATGATGCTGCTTGGCAGTGAAGTATGTTTTTGATATCAATAGATGTGAATTAAACATTTTTTTTAAATTTAATTATAAACATTTTTTATAATTAACATTTTTAAATTAAACATTTTTTTTTTTTTTTTTTTTTATTTTTATTTTAATTTTTTTTACAAATTTTTTGGTGGATATTGTTTAGCAATTGCATTTAAAACTGCACAAAACAGATTGTTATTGTCCCTAATTTATCTCTGCTTCCATATGAAAGGAGAAGTAACTTTTCTTGAACAAATTTTCAGCTCTTATTCAAACACTTTATCAGCAGTTATTAACATTACACTTCCATCATATTTCTAATATTGTGTACAATTTTGCTATGTGAGAATTGAAACATTTGTGAGTTTTCGACAAAATGCCATATGCTTGAAAATAATAGATGCTTTCTTTCTTGAAAAATTTAATAAACACACAATAAAAGTTACCATAAAATGAGAAAACATTGTCCTAAAACTTTCTGCAGTAAAAGTGCTATCCCCCCAAAATTCTGCAATACAGATATATGCTCGCTTTATTGGTTGAAGTTAATATCCAAAGAGAAAGAAAAACTATCTAACTTTGACTTAGGGAAAAAAATTACAAACGAACAAATAAATAAGTAAATAAAAAATAAAAGGTTGATCTTTACATTATGGTAACTGGTAGTTTGGCGACATTTTGGAGGCGATAAAGGTTACTACCTGGGACTTTGGCAATAATGTGAGCAGTACTGAGTTCCGATTACGCATTATTTTGTGTGGGGGAAATGAGAGATCATGGGATATGTCATGTGATATTAATGGACGAATTACGGTTCTTTAATCGGAAAAGGGGAGAAATCGGGAAAAAATCTAGAAATTTTGTATTTGGCTTTATTCTGTGTTGTTGTGTGAAATAGTGGTTGTGAATTTTTGGATCCCATGGCCGTAAGTAAAGTGAATTCGAAATGGGTATTTAGTGGTATTGAAAAGGATAGTAAGAAATGTTTTTTAAGGTTGTGTGAGAGAGAAATAAACATGTTTTATTATGTTATTTATTTTACCTGGTATCTTGCTTTGAAAGATAAGTATGATTTTAAAGATTCTGAAAGAGAATGAAGAAAAGTGTATCCGCCACGTAATGAAGATTCTGAAGGAGATTAGGTAAGTTAGTATTTTTAATTATTTTTATGCATTGTTGGAAATGTAAGGTGGAAAGGAATTTGGTATTATTGGGAAAATTGTTATTAGCAATGATTTAGTTTAAAGTAATTAGGATTGTAAGGTAATTTTTATTAATTGAATGTATGTGCTCATGTATATTTTAAGTGGTGTTTTTGAATTTAATTATATTTTAATGAAATGATAGTTATTTTGTGAATTTTATACTTGTAGGAATTTGGTGTATGTTTAAGTTGAAATAAATGTGCATGGAAATAATTTAAATATTTGATAATAAATATTTGTAATGCTTCATGTATGAATTCGTTGGTGACGTGTATAATGTAATAGATGATTTAGAGGTAAAAGTTTTTGGATATTTTATTTATTTTATATGTGGAATGTCATATTTGTAAAGGGTAAATACTTTTTCGCGATCAGGTAATTTCATATATGTTCTTTTTACCGGGTTTAGGGTTTAAAGATTGAGAGAAAATGTCATGTATTTTCGTGAAATTTTTTTAATTTATGAGATAAAAGCAGTGTACATGGATATAGTGAAGAGTGTGCGGAATGCCATTTTTGTGCAATTCTGGGATGTTTTTAAGTAAAAATAAGTCGACGTGTACATGGTTCAGTGATATTTTAATGAAATGATAGTTATTTTGTGAATTTTATGCTTGTAGGAATTTGGTTTACGTTTAAGTTGAAATAAACGTGCATGGAAATAATTTAAATATTTGATACTAAATATTTGTAATGCTTCATGTATGAATTCGTTGGTGACGTGTATAATGTAATAGATGATTTAGAGGTAAAAGTTTTTGGATATTTTAATTTATTTTATATGTGGAAATGTTCATATTTGTAAAGGGTAAAATACTTTTTCGCGATCAGGTAATTTCATATATGTTCTTTTTACCGGGTTTAAAGGTTGAGAAAATTGTCATGTATTTTCGTGAAATTTTTCGAATTTATGAGAAAAAAGCAGTGTACATGGATATAGTGAAGAGTGTGCGCAATGCCATTTTTGTGCAATTCTGGGATGTTTTTTTAAGTAAAAATAAGTCGGCGTTGTGTACATGGTTTATGTGTATGTGTTATTTTGAAAACGCGTAAGGTGTATGGTATTGTGCACTTTTTCCGAATTTTGCAGTGAATATTTGTCATGATTAAGCAGTTTTGTTTGATAAAATTTCTAGCATAAGTGTAATTCGGCTAGTAGATTGTTGGAAGAAGTGTTCAGTAGATAAGAAGAAAAGAAACATGTCTTTACTTTGTGAAGACAAAATGGCGGCGGGGAAAAAAAAAATAGAGGGTTGCTGTAGGGGAGTTGGTCGCCAAATTTTCGCCAAAAAATCGCCAAGTTACCGTAATGTAAAGATCAACCAAATAAAATTTTGCATTTTTCCAGAAAAGCTTCAAACAACTTCTAGAGTTGCTACAATGCTCGTAGAAAGTGAAATCATGAGCTGTGTTGTTGTTGTCAATGGATACCAGCTAGAACAGAAATACCTTACTTTTACATAGTTAAAAATATTTAGTTTAGAATATACATCAATTCACAGAAATATTATAAATGTATTGCAAATTTATAGATACTTCACAGTAATTTAGAAAAACTGTGTGTTAAAAATATAAAATTAGCTCATTGTAATCCTACCAGCATCCATTAAAACCATATCACCATCATTTATAATTTGATTATTTTCGTTATAATGAATTGTATTTGCTCTGTCTCCACCAGCTACTACAGGAGGAAAGGCAAGATGATCTGCACCCCTCATACGACACTCATAATCCATCTTTGCATACAAATGTGCTTCTGAAATTAGAGGACGAGAAAACTGCATCACCTCTCTCATAGATTCTGCTGCTATCTTACAAGTTTTTCTCATTAATTCAGCTTCAGAACTAGATTTGATAACACGAAGTTGATGCAGAAGTTTACGTGGGGATTCAAGAGAAAAGTGAGTGTTATAATGTGCCATAAAATCCCGCATTATATCATGAATTGGTTTAAAAGGTAAACTTAAGTAATCATACCACAATACAAATTTATTATTCGATTCTGCAAAAGACTGCAGAAAGTTTTCAATATCATCTACATACATAGTTCTGTCAATGCCTAAGAACTTTTTGGTATTATTCAAGTCCATTTTTAAGCCTTCCCATCTCGTTGAATGAGCTGTTTGCTTTGGCACAAAAAGGGTACATTCGTAAGCAGGAGATTTGTTCAACACAGTGTGCAAAATTAAAACACAGTTTGCTTCTTTAAAACCACTTAAGTATAGGAATTCAGTATTCTGACGAAAGGGATATGGTATATTTTCACTCATATAAACTACAGATCCCGATGGCACAATCACAATATGTGCACTTTTATTCATTTCAGCAAAAGTCATTTGAGAGATCACTTGCATTAAACGTGTCCTCCTGCATTGATAAACATCCACTGATAATCCGGGAGTGACTTCGTTCGACTTTAGCAAATGGGCATGAGAAACAGGAGTCGGTTGAGCATAGCAAAGATTATTTCTAGAATTGAACTTCCTTGTCAAATTATATGAAATCGCTTTCATGCGTTCCCATTTCCAGGTCACTAAAATATTTTCTAAGAAAAAGAAACGAAAGAAAAATAAGTAATATATACGGTGAATTTCATTATTGTGAACTCAATAAATATATATTAAGAAACTACTAAACAAGTTTGAAAATCCAAACATTCATACTTTTTAAATAATTCATCTTCAATCCGGTACATTTATTTACTAACAGACAGAATACACAGATGTCGTGTTTTGCAGCTTTCAAGACTTTCTGATGGCAGAGCGAAAAATCTACTGCTATCTTAGGTACCTGCTATTTGATAGCTGAGTGGTCAGCGCAATGGATTGCCAAGGGAAACGTTGCGAGTTCGAACCTCAATGCAGAAAGACTTAATTCATTATAGTTAAATTGTGTTAGATAGCGGTCAAAATGGATATTTTCGTTGAAGTATGGTACCCAGAATTTTTCGTGATTGCAATACTTCCTTAGTAAAAACAAGTGAAAATCTAAGAAAGTAAGCGATATTTTACAGTCCATCCAAATTCGCAAAAACGGGCATTAAATGAAGTTGTATATCATTGCAAAAAATGTGCGGAGACGCAATGGGAAAAATTCTCGGAAAAAGAAAGGCTATCGCATCGGAGATCGCATGGGAAAAAAATTAATTCCTGACAGCGACTAATGTACTGCTGGCCAAAATATTTTTTATATCGCACCCAAACTTATAACATTTTTTCCTTAGCGCTTTGTTCACTGGTAAAACCGACAAGTACCTTTATATTGCTAACTTATTCTTTTTTCAGCTGTTTTATTATTTTACATTTTTCATATTTTGGTTTAATTTATATTTACCTGTGACAAATTACTTATTTATTAACATTTTTATTTATCGCTCGACATTTTATGTAATTTTAATTATGCATTATGTAATGCTTTAGTTATATTTACCAAATTTATTTTTATTAAGACATCTGTTGTCATTTCGAAGAGCGCTGCCATCTGGAATTTTAAAAACTGAAATAAAATAAAATTGAGAAGTAGAAGAGCAAAAAATTTTAAATGAATAGCTGTGTCAGTGGATAGAAAACTCACAGTGTTACAGAGGTTATTACTTCGACAAACTGGCAACAATATATCAAAGTTTTGAAAGTTTTGTATACAAAAGTTTTTATAGTAAAAATTATATGTTCATCAGAAGACCCCCAAATTCCATTTAATTTCATAGAATAAAGTGAATAGGAGCCAATTTCTCATAAATAGTCTAGCATGAAAGCGTCTATTCTTAGGCAGTTGCACTTGTGTTCTCAAATAATTTAACCTAACCCTCACTCACACCTCCGTTTCTTGTGAACTATGCTATTTCAAAATAAGATTGGAAGATTAGGGAGCATTGTTATCAGTTCAAGGTAAACGTAAAGAAATTATAGACCCGCATTTGAAATGGCGTGTTTAGAGTCACTATCTTGACGCAGCTTAAAACTGCTTTCGATACATAGTATTTGGGCTGATGGTTTCAATTTCTTTTTGAAAATTTTAAAATAATTTAAGTAATTCATTATGGTTTTAGAGTAGACTAATTTACTTAAAATATACAATATTATACCAGCACTCTCAAAGTTTTATTGTTGGTAACACGTTCTTCGAATAGAGTTCATCCGTTTTTCTTCCAGCAATAACGCCTTCATTCGAACCAGAAAAATAAATTTGCTCACATCTACATACATGTCCTGATTCCAATATAAAAAAATGTCTGTTTATTGTCATTTTGCGAATAACAACCTGCATTTTTTATTTTCTCAACTATAAAAAAAATTTCTAGCAGAATGATTATGACGTCCGAGACATTTTATTATTTTCGAAAATTTTCAGAAGAAACTGATGTATCAAATATTTGAGTGTTTCATTGATTAAATTCTGCAGAAAATTTTACGCCGAATTAACAGTGAATTTATTGAAAGTTTAAAGATCAAATCGATCCTCGTTCAAGATAGGCTTCAGTGGGCAGTCGCTTCTTCTCTAGCCTTTTTTTTTTTTTTTTTTGCTTATTACGTGGTCCGCCCTTATGCACTACACGGAAAGGGAGGAATGCCCCGTGGAGGTCTTTTTAAGAGAAACTGACTCGTATGCACGTTACACATTGGGCAAACCACGAAAACGCCCATGCATTCTTCTTTAGGTTAGAAGTTAGTTTTCCTTTTGAACTGTTTTATAGCATTATAAACAGCTCACAGTTGCATACTTGATTTTTTTCAACAATTTCTGAAACTAATTTACTTTATTTTATATAGATTGAATTCAGCCCAATGTTTATTAATTGGATGGTCATAGATTATAAAAATTCCTACTTTAAATTTCGATATTGTTTTTCTTCCTCAATTATTTAATTTTTTCCATATGTTTTGTTTTTCCAGGGAAGTGAGATATACATTCAGTATGTATCAGTATAGTATTAGTTTTATTAATTCCTATACAAAATGTAGCAATAACAACATATAGTATTTCTGTTGTAATTGAAAGCTAGATTTGAAGTCCTGCAGACCCTACTAGACAAACAGCGAGCTGTAGCTACGTGTTAAGCAACTCCTAGTACTAACGAAAATTAAAGTTGGCGCTGTGCTCTGAGGCCTTTGGAAATAGAAGAATAAGCGCTTTCGCGCGACTTAGATTAGTATCTAAGTTAAACAATTGCTATATAGGAAATGCATAACAAAGTTGAAACTTAATAAACATAGATGAAGTAAATTATATATCAAGAAATTGTATTCTGGCGATGAGGAATTGAAAATTATTTGCCAAGTATAAATGTGTTAATACTAGAATAATGAAAATACGGCGAGAGTAATAATATGTGTTGAAGTAAGGTACAACAAAGTCTTATTCCCGCTTTGTCTGCGGCAAAGTCCATTTCTTTGCAAGTTATATGAAAGTTGAATACTTACTAAATGAAAATGCAAAGATATTTAGAGAATTCAAAATAAAAATTCTAATGCTTTGTCAGATAAATCACAGTCTTTAGTCTAATATCTTTTGCTTTGAAGAAATTTATTAATGAGATACATTCCGCAAGAGAAGAAGAGGAAAAAAGTGGTCCCGTGATCTAGTGACAACAATCTCCGCACGTGCGCTGTTTACGATGGAGTCTATAGCAGATGTACCACTAAAATTAATTGATTTTTCTAATTTAGAAATTTACAGCTATTGTGAAAAATTAAAAAGTACTCTTGGAAGTGATTTCTCTTTTCTTGATGTCAATAAAAAGGGCCTTCTCTTTTTCAAGGAAAAGCATGTGAATAACATTTGTTTTCAAGTAATGTCCGATAGTAGGGTATTTATAGTAAGCTGTGTTAAGGCAGAAATGAAGAAAACAGTTAATTATAAAACGTCTGTGCAAATTTCTGCAGAAAATGAGGTAAGATTCATAAATTTTCTTTTATGCATAATACCTACCAATATTCATGTTTTACTTTCCTAGGAATATTAAGTGTATATCAATAGTTGAAAAATATTCTCGAGACCTTGAATAATGTTTTCCAAACTTTAAAATGCAAACATAATCATGTAAATATTTGTTAATAGTTTATGCATAGTTGTTGTTCTAAATTATTGAAATAGTTGAATTCACGCAAGATCTGCTTATTTGCAAAAACATAAACACCAAGCTAATTTTCTCTTATTAATTGAGTGCCATAGAGAACATATTATACCACTGAATTTTTATTAATTTCGTTACATTGTGTTTTAATAATGTGGCTGTTAGAATCTAGTTTTAATCAATACGCATAAATGTAGTATTTTTTTATCGCTTTCTACTATAAAATAAAGAAATATCTATGATAAAAAAATTATTAATTTCACAGCTAGAATTACAGCGAACTCAGTTGTGCAAATCAATACAATTTTCTTTTTGACATTTTTACTGTAATATAAAAAATAAATGTTAATCTGAAGTTCATGCTATCTATAGATTTAGAATCAGTTATGAACAATTAAATTTCAAGGGGTACAAAATTATGTATTAATTTTGAACTGTGTATCATATTAGTATCACTACCGTGACGTAATTTCAGGGCAACTGTATTTATAATGTTCCAGACATTTTAGTCTAACATTTTTGAAAACCATCTTGTGCTTGTCAGGCTGATAAAATTGTGACTTAAAATTATAATAGTAATTACATTATTATTGTAGAACAACATACATGAGCATTATTTTATGTATTTCCTCTTGCAGTATACAGAATTATTATTGCAAATGATTCATAAGATTTCAAAAAAGTACTGAAAATAATTTTAAAAATTATAATTATTAAAAAAAACTATTAAGTTATTTAATACTATTTGAAATCAAGTAGAAATATTTCATATTTTACTGATAAAACTATAAATGTTCAATGTGTGTTGTTCTGGTTTTATGATGTACATAGAAATGAGTATCCCAATCTTCCCAACATGTATTGTAACTTTTTCGACACTGTTTCTTTAGAAATGCTTGGCCATCTAAAGTTGTTGCCTTTACATAGGCAAGTATTATTCTTAAATACCATCTAATATTCTGGTGGCTTTTTGGAATATACAGTTGCATTGTGGTGCTTTGAAATAATTTTGCATAGTAACAAAAATATAAATGTTGTATATTTCCAAAACACAAAATACTTCAACATTTTCATAAATGGTCACTTATTGGCTGCATGAGATGAACACAAGAATGCCTCTATATGTAAACTTAAATATTTAACATATTTAAGTTTACATATATGAATGTGTGTGATTTATAACTTAAAAATTATTGGACTTTGAAACCCACTGAATAAATTGTAACAACCTTGCATAGTTGGTCCCAGAATTTCATTAATGTTCATATTTTTTATTATAGATTCAGACTGCTATTTGTGAGTGCCCTGGTGGATCTAATCCTGCAAGTTGCAAGCATGTTTTTGCATTGCTTTATGCATTGGTTGATTATAGTCAAAAAAATTATATGAAGCCCCAACTGAACAGCTACAAAAATGGCATCAACCAAGGCCAAAACTCTTATCACCAAAAAAGAGTTCAGATATATTTAAGCCACATGCTTCCAATTATTCAACCACGAATTCTGTTAACTTTTCAGCACTTTTTGGAGAAAAACTGTAATTTCCCAATATTCTCTGTACTGGAATGTACAGACCATCTATTTCAAGTCGGAACAATTCCCCTACCTGCATTGGTATGTACCAGGATAAATATTGAAATGCCCGACTTCTTAAATATAGAAGAGGTGCTTTACTTTCATCAAAACATAAAATGTAG